TGAAACATGTTTGGATTAATAAGGGCATGACAAATTAATAGATGAAATCCATACTACTTAGGTGGCCACTTTTTTATCGAGCTCGGTTTTCGCAGGCGAACAAATTGAAATGCATTCGAAAGCCGAAATCCTGACGTGGCTGAAATATCTTGGGGCGGTGCTGCATAATAATCCATATTACAATGCCACTTTTGTAATCCCTCCTAATCAACAACACATTTCGGAATCTCGGTTTACATTTTATGAGATCAGTCACTGAGCATACTTCCATTCCTGCCGGCCTATACCGCCCATAAAATGCTTCTATCTCTCCAACTCCTTCAGAACTACCACCTATTAGACATTCTTCACCGGGACCAGATTTCATTCAAACACTTGCAAAGCATTTAGGACGACGGCCATCCGAGAAAGAAAAGCTATCTCTGAAGCAAAACTAACTGTGCCTCTGGGACTACCACCGCTGTCTAACTATGACTAAACACCTCCGCTTTGTTCTTCTGAAGTGGGGAGGCAAGTTTTGAAGAAAACAAGAAGCACGGTCGCTTTTCCTGAGAGAGACTGATGCCTGAGCGTAGGAAACTAAATGCCGTCAGTCAAATTACCTTAAAGGCCACTTCTGACCGGGCAGCCGGTAACCCAATTACCATCCTGTGTACGATTGGGAGTCTCCTCTGACCCTTGAGTCCTTGCCTCTGCCACGACAAGACCTACAGCCGAGTTAGTAGCGATTTTATTGTGAACGGGATGGGATACGAACGCGTCTGGGACGTCTGTTGACGTGCAGAATACATTGGAACACTGCTCATCATAACTGCCAACTCTCGTTTTCAAATGATTCCCCTAACGTCCAGTTCACGTTTTGAAATTGGGGAATTAAACCTCGCTTTTTGATAACAAGTCTACTCACCTGCCCTTTGCTCGACTGTTTCTTGCCTAAACGCTTTTTTCGCTAAATAGGTCAGATTGTTTTGTCAGAACAAAATAAGCTGATTGTGTCCAGCGTTGCGACACTTGGATTCAATTTTCATTTCCCATTATCATTTTCTTGAAGGTTGGAATGTACCTGCATCAAAAATCTGCCGTCGTTAAAGGAACTAACAACGATGCGCCTTCTTCAGTGGATTTAGTTCAAATAGTCTATTTGTATCCACTATACAAGAAGTAACAGCCTCTGTGTAACACTGCGCCTGCCTCATCAACCAACATTTTCTAGATCCCTTATTTACCATTCTGATTAAGCATGCATTTCTCCCACTTCTTCTGTGTTCCCAAATGCACTTCTGCATATTTCGTACCCACCTGTAAAGGCTACATCTTCTAAACAATGGGCAAAGAGTTAGCGCCCAGTGGCACAATCGACGGATCAATTCTGATGCTTCAACGCGTTTCTGCCGCCTCTGGGATACCGCCATTACTGTAAAAACCGAGTTTCCGGAGATTTCAGTTGGTGGCGCGAGCGATGCGTGGGCAGACCTGTTCGCTGGGGACAGGAGAGGGTCAGCCGGTTTGGAACCTGTGTTTTCTATCAGCTACCATCCCCAGACCTTAGAGTCTGTATGATTTCCGTATGGAAACAGAAGAGAATACTGAATTCGCTTGTATATTAGACCTTTACCAGACTGTTCAGAGGCCTTGACAGGGTGGGCGCTCTGTGGGGCAACCCTACGAAAGGATCAGTTAGCCTGCCCACAAGTCAGCCACAATCAAGCCAGCGCTCTAAGGCCCATACGGTACTTCAGTTTGCACGAGGTCCGAATCCTATGCCATCAAGATTTTGTGGCAAGTTGGTCTGACGGCTCGTACTGAAGCTTCTGCATCTACATGTGAAAGTTCGTAACTTTGTGTGACTTTGGAAGTTCATGGAAAGAATGCAAAGGGAAGGTATTAAAATTGCTTATTCTAAAATGCTCCCTTCTTAAATGAGTAGAATTTTCTGCGTTTGCCTATTCACTGCTAACTTTGAAATGTTACTCTTGGAGCTATAAACGGTTGTCGATCCTGCTATTATCACCTCGTATTTTGACCACTTACGGTACTAATAATAGTAATGTGGTGCCTTGTCTACGTCCTTTACAGTTGCCAGGAGTACTTTAACGAGCCAATCCGAGCACTTTTGTCGCAGATTACTACTTACTAATGTCCGTCGATAAAAGCATTTTAGCGCTCATATGAATCACAACTATCAGTTTAATGATTGTTCACCCGTCGGTGCATGGGGCGTAGTACCGTTATGTGACGCTCACTTTCCCCATTCTCAGCAATACATCTACGGTGGCCGCCACTACCACTACTATTACCGCATCTGCTGTTGCGCCACTACTACCGCCGTCACAACTACCCCTACTACTACTACTACTACTACTACTACTACTACTACTACTACTACTACTACTACTACTACTACTACTACTACTACTACTACTACTACTACTACTACTACGACTACTACTACTACTACTGATGCTGCTGTTGCTGCTGCGGCTGCTATTGCTAGTACTACTACTGCTGCTATTACTTTTCTGATGCTACTGCTATTACTAACACTTACTACTGCTACTACTACCACTACTATTATTACTACTACTACTACTAATACTACTACTACTACTACTACCATCCTCCACCCAACTCTTTATCGCTTTTTATTGCGTAGATTCTGCTGTTGCTACCTCTGCTGACGGACGCATCAGCAAATTTGCTCCCTTCGTACAACCGCACAAAATATTCTCCATCTTCACAATATTGATAGCAATAGTAGGCAAAGAGTAACGGCGAGTGCTCTTTAATCATGCTCCTGGTGACATAATCAGTGATGGTTGGAGCAAGATGGCCTGATTTACAGGGCTAGCTAACGGAAAATGCTTATAATGACAAATAAGTTGCAAAGTGCTGGCTCTGTCCCTTTTAGGAGAGATTTGGCATTGTTTTGCATGTCAGTGACTGCTGTTGGCAGAGATTTGACATGGTTATATCTAAAACAAGCTAATGCATAGGAGACTCGAAACTATGTTGAATGCCGCAATGTAATTCCCACCCTGAGGAGTAAAAGCCATCCAGACCGCCAGTATGTGCTTGCGTTCTTTGGCGTTTAGGAATCCAGGATATTCTCCAAAACGAAAAGAAGTTGCTTTGGATACAAATAGGGTCAAAGGGAATTCAGTTCTCCGATGAGGTGGTGTTCAACGCTCTATCCTGAAACCAATACCGAATAGGGCCGATCCCACTTCTCCTTGAAATTCTGGTCAAGAGCCCTCGTAGGCAGCCGCATTGCAACAAACTATCAGCCGTAGAGAAGTGTTTTCGACAGACAATGATAACCATTTCGGGTTCCTCGTTCTCTTGAAGTCTGGCCTAGGGAGACAAATGTGACCAAATTCCCCATTATCACTAAAACATTCGTCCCACTGTCAGTGACTTCTCCAGGCCTTCATTGATTCATGTTTTGACGTCAAGACTAGTCTGTTTAATTTTGACAAACATGACAACTTATCCTTTCGTGTACGTATTTCGAAATTCATATGCTTGGCTTTCCTTTTAAATTTGGCTGTTGTTGAAAGTTAGCAAAGGGTGTGGCTTTCACCCAAAAATCGTGATAGACTTCTCTTTTGCATTTGATTGGCCCATCTTGAAATTTTTTCCGAAAACCTACGCGTGTAATTAACGGAGCAAAATTTTCTAGGCGTCATAGTTTTCCAAGTCTTGTAGGAAACCTGTCAAAATGTTTGCGAAAGGGTCAAATTGGCTAACACCCTTTCCAGGGACGATCGCGTATGCTGGACAAATACAGCCCCATTTTATGGATATTCTGCCTTTATTGCCATTAGGAATTAACTAAGTAGACGCCACAAGTCAAGCAAGGGGCAAGAACGAATCGTTATAAGATCAAAAATGTTTACACTGCTCCAGCTGCGAAATAACACGGCAACCATTAGTAGCGTGTTAACCTAGATAGTTAGTGGTGGTCTATAGACCTTCACGGCTGCAGTGTAGCGAGTTTGCGGACATCATTTTGAATTGTCATTCATGCAGTTGCTCAGTCGTGCCGATTAGATGGCGGTCAAACTAATGTCTCTGAAACGGCAGACTTTGGGGCATTCCTGAATTGAGCCGAAAGGGTCTTGATTACTAAAAGAATAGTCTTATTCGCTTGACGTTTCGGATCTACCCTCGAATGCGTACTTAGCGTTTGAAAAAGACAAAGGCACCGGAAGCACAGGGGGTGCGATATTTATAGAGTGCGGTTGCTGCACGACTACACGCCGTGGTGATGGCCTGGCCGCCAGCAGACAAGTCAATAATTGCCGCAGCTTCATCACCTGTGTTGGCGACTGGCGTTATACCTGCTCGGACATTTGACTTACTGATACGCGCACTAGAAGTAATGTTCTCCTTATTCCTCCCTCTCCCTCCCCCCTCCCCAGCGTCTGACTAGCTACTTTAGATAGGCGAGGTCTTAGCACTGAATGGGAAAGAAAATATCATTGCGTTTTTTGATGGACCGCGGATCGGATAATCTTGACTCTCACGGGAACTTTAGACTCGTCGAACATGAAGGTGTGACCGAGTCTCGCTGGGTGAGTCGCGATTTGAGAGTTGGTTTCCGTTCTTCCCACTGATAATACATTTTCGCTCATTCGCATCCATCGGAATCTTGCTTCCCTACGTAGTTTTTTGTCCAAAACTGCACTAGACTCGGTTAACGACTTCAGAACTTCCTTCCCACGGCAGCGGAGCTCTTGGTGCCAACACCTGACGCTTGGTAATTGCTCCGGTCTGTGTCGTATGTGCAGGCGGCTGCTATGTTCCCAGAGTTTTTGACGTACGGGATTGCTGGTCACAATTCTGACTCGGCGTCGTTAGGCCTCACGTCTCTTCTTTGAATGTGCCAGTTAACTAGTCATCCACTTGGAGCACCCGTAAAAACGTATAGTGATTCAGCAACCTCATCTTTTGGTTCATTAAAGTGCATACGAAGACACTGACGGACCACCCTTATTGGGATGCGCCTTTTCTATCGCCAATTCCTGGATTATTTGGATTTTCTATTCTCGTTCTCTCTCGAAGACGTGAGTGCCTCCTTTCTAGTTTGTCTTCGAGAAGGCCTAGTACTTTTCTAGAGGCCGAGTATGCCCCACAACAATTCTCTTTGCTATGTTGAGACAAACTTATTTCCTCGTTCTTAGCCCTAAAGCGGCCTCTGACTTTCAACTAAAGATAAAAAATTATAGTTTCCTCGCTCTGGCTCATCAATACGTGGAAGGGAGGGATCGCGATTTTATTTTAAGATTGTCTGGTTGTTGGTCTTCACCGTAGTGCGATACTTGACATTGCATCTGTTGAACTTATCCATGGTGGTGAGGCTTTCTTTGGAGAACACCGCTATGCGACTAGAATTTTAATTCCGCAGATGCAGAGACCATCCGGTCGCTCCCGCAATCTTTCGGATCGTCTGAGTGACAGCGCACTTAAATATAAGAAATTTGAATTTAAGGTTCATGATCATCATTTCCTTTGGCGTGACTGCTTGTGCAACTGAATAAATTTGGTGGATTCGTTCAACTGCACCCTTCGATTTTACTGACTGGTTATATTGCTGTACAAATCTTATAGGATCGAGCGATCAGCTCTCCACCTTAGCGCAGCTTTTTGCGGCCGGATCGCATTAATGCCTTCTTCTTTGTCTTCTGCATTTTGCTCACTTTTCACACTTTCCAGAAAGGTGGCTTTCACTCTCACACTATAAATATCTAACTAAACTGTCCACAAAAACGATGTCGTTTTAAGCATTCGGTATTTTTGAAAGACACAACGAGGCAGTTTCCTGTCAATGATTTCGAATCGCATGAACGAATTGTCAATTTTTGCGATGGTTGCTTTAGGTAGGGTCGTTTGTTTGTTTGTCCTTATAACATCTGGGCGAGCCCTTCGCAAGAGGGACATGAACACATGTTTGCCGTATGTGGGGGGGTTGAAGCTGACTCGTTCTTAGAGGAAGTTACGCCGACACGAACCTGTCTTACATTCATAAAAGTAGCTACAACCGTAAACATGCAGTTGAACAGGTAAACGGGATACTAACCGTAGAAGATTAAAGCAACTTCTGATGGACTTATGTACGGGGTTTCCACTAACCTTGCTACCTGATAGGGACTGCCCAGGCATTAAACTCTCATCAAATGGGTGCTCAGTAGCAGATCGTTACAAAATCGTGCTAAAAGGACGGCTAAACATTCGCTAAAAACAGCTTGGCTAGCGATAAATCGTATTTTGCCCAAAATAAGAAGCACCAGTGAGCTACAGTAACGCCCTATAAACTGCCTCATCGGATTCGATTATATTACAGGTATTGCAAGTAATGGACAAAATGCACTGGCCTGTAGCTATATTCGACGCACGTCTCAGACTTCTGGAAAATGACTTCGAGTTTTTCGTGTTCCATGATAAGCCAGCTCTTGTTCCTGTGCCTTGCAGAACTCAGTTAATAAACTTGAGTTTTAGTCGAGTTTGCGCAGCATATTCAATGGGCTGTCGACTTTTCACTTTGATAAACCAGTTCTTAATAACATTTTACCTAATAGGCTGAACATTTTTGCATGCTTCTGAGCCTCAAACTGAAACCAGCTAGAAGCCATTCCCATCGGAAAAACAGTACCAAAGCAACTGTTAGCAGTATAGGATTACTTCGAACTTGTTGGCCTTCTTTCTGTGACGGTTGGGTCGATTTTACTCATGCATATTTTTACTGCCATATAAAGGCTTAACAAGGTTTTCTTTTGACTTCCCACTCCGGCTGCCAGAGTCGTTAACACTCCTAAGACCAGTCCGCCCTCTCTTTGTTTGAGTATTCTGTAAGGATGTTTTAAAATCCGTCTAATTCAGAGGAGCTGCATATCCCCACATAAGGTAATATTGGGGAATTTTCATGATAATATTAGCAATAAAAACGGGTCTCCTCCTCCACGTTATGCTCAGGACGCTAGCACTGAACTAGTGAAAGCTGCAGACATTAGGAAAACCGCGAAAGGGTTCGCCATTCGTCTAACATTTCTTTACCATCCGTATGTCCTACTTTATGCCTTGGATTGAGTCATTATGCCCGTTCGACGCTTTCCCAACTTTGAATTACATTCAATAGTACTTCTAAATCGGGCTCAGTTTCGACAGTTTCCAGTTGCCTACGCTGTCGAGGAGGGCTGAAACTGGCTGTTGCCCTCCACTTATTGTTACAGCAAGAGGCGGTGAATTTCCGCTGCTTCAAAGAATGAGTAACGGCCTCCATTTGGCGTTGCCGGACAGCCACTTATCTCTGTTTGCAGTGCAGCGTTTGGGGCACAGCTGGCATAAGGTTTAAAGTGGCGCTCAGCCTCTTCTTGCTCCACTGGCTCCCGCAAGCCGAGTAGAAAACTGAAGAGACGGGCTGCCCTACTTCGAGCCTGACATTCCCACTCGGAAGACAGGTGCGTCCAGCCCAGTAGGATCTATTTTTTGCCTTTTCTGGGTCGTCGGAGTGTCAGACGTGCCGCCATTCTTCCGATCTAGAGTGGACGTGCGTAGAATTGTGACCAGTGTGTAGGACTCTCGGCGTGGTTGCGTCTCATGAACAGCGTGTCCAGACGTTGCCGGCTTTCACATGTATGGGTGTGAGTCAAGCGAGGGATGCAAAACCCAGTTCTCGTGAGTGCACGTAAGCATACACTCGAAGGCCCATGCGCCTTCCCTTCATGTCGCTGCCATCGTCATCTTATCCTTCCCGTCGGCCGCCACTCAACGGCGTCACCTTGTGGGACAGTGGGGGGACGCAGTGTTACATGAATGGAAGTTTTATAACGATGACCTCAAATGACCCTGTCGTATTCGGGCGACAATGACTGCTGCTTCCTCCTCCTAAACTCTAGGTCCCCGCCGATGCCATATGCGCACTTAACTTTGCTATTGCCGTCTTATATTCATCTAGAACGAAGCCGTCAGACGCCACTTAAGAACCAATACAGGGGGCTGGTGAGCAAAATCAGCGAACATCAGGGTTCCAATGTAGTTTTTCTGCGCCTTTGGTACAAACCACGATTGAACAGAGAGTCACCTCAGCATTAAATTGAACACTTGAGTGGTGCAATGTCAGAGTGGCTGTGCGACTGATAATTAGTCGGGCATCAGTCCAGGTTAACATCACATTAGCTCGACGAGTGCAGTTCAAAGTTCATCAAAAGCATGGCATAAAATATAGTTTTGGTAAGACTGTATCACAGCAACTTCAGTACTACAAAGAAACAACGGCTTGGCTCGGTAATTTCAGTTAATCGTCCGGGGATAGGGTGTCATTTTACCTCAGTAGCCTACTACCTCTGGTGAAACGCTTGCAAAGAATAGCGGTCTCCGTGTACGTTCAACACTTCGAAGCATCGCGAAGGTTACATCATTGCTCTACATTTTAAAATCTCGTCTTCACGACCTCAAGTTAGATATGAGCACCAATCCGAAGCGTTTGGCAAGTAAAATGGTTCCTTCTACGATCTAAGTTGCTTCAGTTTGATTTCTATGACCGAGTCTGTACAACCACTTATTAGGAGTGAAGTCTAGGTGAGAAGCCTGGTAAACCGTTCGACACCGACGTTTGGGTTTCCATGATGTTTGCAATTGTCTAAAGATGTCAGCGAGAGGAGGACCTGCATAAAGATGTATCTGCTCAAAATACGACTCTGTTTTATTTTTGTGCTGGGAAGGGCAGAAATTTGCATACTCCAAGTAACATCTCGTTCAGACTTCCTTGCCTAGGATTTCTCCCTATCAGTCTTTATTTTTTCTCTGGAAACCAAACAACTTCCGGTGACGAACTACCATATATGACAAAATAGGGGACGAAGAAAGTGTCTCAGTACGTCGTTGGTAGCAAATTAGGTGAGTAAAATTAGGCTCGTTATTCCTGTTCAGTGTCTTTACCCACAGAGAGCGATACAATCTCCGAGACTCATCTTTTTCCATCCGGCTGTCTTCCTCCATTTGGGCAGAAACGTCCGAACTTCGTCACCTGTCTCCAATCACTCCCACGCGACCGAGTACCACTTCATTCGAAGTAATTTCGAAATTAGCCTTAGGGTTGTGTGAGGCCTTCCTCAATCCCTCTGCTGAATATTCGGTCATTCTTCTTAACTTTGAGGTTCCTGGGCATGCATTATTTCAACACTATATTCAATTAGAAAACGACTAAAGTGGAAGACATCACGTGAATCCAACTCTTTATCACCACACAACCGTTAGTATCCCCACCAGCGCGGAATCCAGTTCTCCATACCCAAGCGAGACTTGTCCCTAGGGGCTACTAAAAAGTCATAATCCGACCATAACTGCAGAGCCCAAGATAGTCATTCTTCCCCCTGGATATCCCGTTTGAATGCCTCTCTATACCATTATACGTTCATTTTGTGCAGTTTCGGGCAAGACCATTAAGTCGCATAAACTGGGCGATTACTCCGTACGCGGAATAGCCAAACCCGCTGCGGCTGTGAGGAAGTGACAATCGTGTGAACTGAGAGCTTCTTCGGCCTTCAGTTTGTCAACGAGCTAGATGTCCTCCCCTTTCGTATTCAGCACCGACACATTCTGAACGGAGAAATTAGCCACATGGGGAGGGCGTGGTTTAACACTGGCTACAGTGACGTTAGCGGTAAACCACATTTGGGGCAAATATCACACCAGCAACCGACAATGTTGACGGAATGGCTGCAGTTAACGACTCGAATGCAGGCGACCAAGCGATCATCGCACCAAGTATGACCATCAGCGATGAATACCGGAACCCCTAATTTTCATAGGCATGTGATCACCCGGCAACAGCATCCTATAATTACTGCACCTCTTACTTGTCCACTACCTTTACCTGTAGCTGTCTCTAGTCGTGAGATCGAGTGTGAATTCGAAACGTCAGGTGAATAAGACTCCTGTTCTAGGGACTACATCTCCTTTTCAGCTGCTCCCTGGAACCCACCTTTTCAATTATATCTACACTTCCACTAGTTGTGCCTGGTGGGCATGCGTTGTAAACTCGCACGGGTCCTCATTTTGATCATTTTAGCGGGGTTACGAATGGGCTGACTTGAAGTAAGATTTCCTACTGCTGTTTATGCGCTTCGATATCCGAGGTGTAAAGGTATTTTACCCGCCGAAATCCGTGCATCCAGCATTATCCCCTCTTTCTCCTGGCCACATTTGGAAGCTATGACCTTAGACGGCCTGAGCTGGGCGAGAGAAAGGGTCTTTTCGCCGCATGTCACTTTGTTTCGACATACGTCATCTCCTTTATATTACAGAAGTATTGGTCATAGGTGGACAGTGCCTGGATTTTATTCAGCCCTCCCCAAAAAAGTTCAGAGACTGTGTCGGTCTTATCATTGCTGCCTTCAAGTATGAACTTGCTCGTAAATGACATTCAGGAGAGATTCAGTTAATGAGCACAATAGCCTAGCAAGTGCGATTTTTTGCGCCTCACACGAAGCGCTTCAGAATTACTGTCACGAATGAATAATTTACTCATTACTTCGCAAGAGCACAGATGGGTAAACGACAACTCTCCTTGCACGTTCTAAAGAAAAGAATAAAGTTGAGTGGTGTTCCCAGGGTTTGCATGGTTGAGGGGGAACGAGCAACTATCTGCTTTTGCTAGATTTGTTGAAATAATACATGCAGATGGGCAGAAGAATGTTTTCACTCGAAAATCATGCATAGTAAAAAGAGAGAGAGAAACTGCACAGAATGTGCTAATTAGGTCGGTAGGGTGCTCTGCCTCATAAAAACCAGGAACCCTGTTCTACTGAGGAAAAGAATTTTTCGTCCCGGGCCTACATACCGCCTAACGCATCCTTACAAAAAAATAGTGTGCACACCCAACGTGTAGACAGTCAGCTCATCAACCATTTAATGACCACTGCCTCTACTGCCACCACCTATTGAAATTTGGGCTTCCGGTCACGGCTTTGACATCCAGGAAAACGATGACTAGCCACCCTAACTAGCAGAGACCCTAGTATTCGGAACGTTTGCCTGTCCAGTTCTTGAAAAGTAGTTCTTGTACGTAACCGTGGGCCGTAACCTGCCGAACCACTGTGTATTCCTAGGTAGGTTAAACGCTAAGTCATTTGTGGCTTTAGTGCCTCACTTGGTAGCGTCTAATAGGAAAGAATATCTTTCAGTCATAGCATTTAAACACCCCACAGTCGCTGTTTATCTACCAATGGGATTATTAGGCAGAATTTGCTAATAATTCGGAACGAATGTGCTTGATTATTAGATGGACGTTTGCGTACGCAGTTGTTTGATTGAGTGATTTCTACTGAAAGGTAGAAACATTAAAAGAAGGAGAATTACCAAGTCCCATAAGGCACGCAGAGCTCTTGATTAGGATGTTCGTCTTTAGTGACTCTACGCGAGTATTCGTCGGATGTTTTACCGCATAAAACAGTAGTATCGTCAATACTATTAGGCACTGAAGCAAACGAGAGGTACGATTAGTTCATCAGTCGTGGTTTGAAAAGGACTTTTCGTTTGCAGTCAAACTGGCCTACGCTTTTGAAGGCTTTTTCACCAACTATCACTTTCAGCACATGTCTCATCATTTGTATAACCAAACACGCGCCCCATTCATCCTAATTAACATAAAAGTCGGAGTGACACAAGGCCCATATGTACTTAGCATTAAGTCGCCCAAAAAAGAGTATTACACGCCGGGAAAATCGTGATGAGGGTTCTGGCTCTCCAAAACCGGCTTGCTTAGGATGAGGAGCAATTTCAAAATTGTGTCCTGCAACAGGCGGTTCCGAAGTACTTTCTCACAACCAGATTAATCCCACAGAAGCCTGAAGCCGCATCTCCTCATCTGTGATTTCTAACAGGCATGTGTAAACGAAAGTCCGCCTACAGCAAGGAAATCGCTGCTGTACCTCTCACACACACACATAGCTCTTTGATCCCGGAGTTCTTGTCCGATCTCTGTCGTTTGCATCTGAGCGCACTCCGACACACACGCACACAGTACATGGAAATGTGACAGCTGGGAACGTTTGTCGAATCCACGCACCCACCGGAATAAACCCAGACTGACGACACGACCACAAGCACGGATGGACGGCCGCCCCTCTGGGGTGGGGACAGCAGCCGTACCAGCATAGGCATAATTCGTGTCCCCGTCCCGTAATACCGGGTGGTCTACACTTCCGGGTCAGAGCTCGCGTCCCATTTTCCCTGCATGCGCATCGCCCGTGCCATTGGGTCTAACATCTCACAGCTTGTGATTCACACAGCCTTGTGACCTCAGCAGGGTTTCCTCCTCCGGTGCTCTTTTTTGTCCCATAGCATAGCCGGGCGTCAGTTTATCTAGTCACCACAGCGTGCAGAACCCTGTATTTTCTAACTTCCCACACACTTTGAAAGCTCATGTGCTGCCAGTCCAAGTGTCAAGGTCCTAACCAACAGTTGTGACATTTGCTAATGGCCAGACTGATGGTTGACTCAACAGCCCTTCAGCTTTGCCTCGTTGCGGCATATAGGTTTTGATATTTCCGCCGCACCACTGCATGTGCTAAGTTGCTGATCCTGTCAGAGTATACGCCAGCGGTCGTCTCCCTCCCACTTTAGGGGGGGGGGACTTAGGTGGGAAGTATCTGTTGGCGTGGAAAGCACTTAAAGGGCTTGCTCGAAACTAATGATGTCAGGCAAAACTGCACTTTTAGGTGGAATCTCTGGTCCAAAAATCAAAATGCAAAATTTATTTTTGACTACAGACTATGACAACATCCAATCCATACAGCCTAGCCTTTTGTTCTCGCGCACCCCTCTGGCATAAGCGAAGGTCAGTCCGTACGCGATCCTGATAAAAATCTTCTTGCTTTCTCTTTGTGCTCCGCGGCTGTTCCCTTCTTTTTACTAACGATGTGAACGAGTGCCTATTGTAACCGGTTAAGTAGGATTTGCTCAGGCCTTGCCTTTTGTGATGGATTAACTGATACTTGAATTTTTGCAAATCCCATAATACAGTAGTATTTCTGCCGCCGGTCGGAGATATTTTTCTGCGTAAAACAATGAGCTTAGTCGATTCTAAACCAGCGCCTGTCTTTTCATTCTCCCACGCCCCCCTACCCTCCAGCTGTTCAGCAGCCGACGTCAAGACAGCACGATTACCTTCTTGCTAGCTGACAGCTTCCCCGAATTCACTTTGAGTGTGAGTCTTATGCAAGGTGTGACAACGGCCAACCCCCCGCACCTCATGATTGAAGCCGCTAACCGAGCTGATCAAGCGGTCTGTGTGGAGTCTATACGATGTCCAGAACCGCTCACCACTCCGTCACCGCCTCCTCGGCCAACTGAAGTGACAAAGACCCCCGGTGGGCCTAGCCCCACCCCCCGAGTGGAATTCAAGCGTGCCGAGGGCGAAATGAAGGGTTCTAGCTCTGCCGCTGACAAGAAACCAGCCAGCTTCTGGGACGCCGTCATGGAGACCAGCAGCCCTCGACTCTGGGTCATCGCCACGCTGGTGCTATCAGTCGTCTGTCTCCTCCTCTTCATCGCCCTCCTCTGCGCCTGTTTTTGGATCTGCAACTTGAAACGACAGTACCGACGCAAACGGTGTCGTGGGACCTGCCGATTTGGTTGCAAGTGTCCCCCAGATGCAATTCGTCAAGCGGCCGCCGATGCAGCTGTCTGTGGTCCCTTGGGCTCCGGTTTGGGCACAATGCCCAACGGTTCTGTTCTCGGCTACCCTAGCGTAGGTCGCTCTTGGGCCGTTCCCCTCAACGGCAAGATTCCTGTAAACCCACTTTACGTCTCCCTCGGAGCCAATGAAAAGCTCCTCTCTGTCCAGGATTCAGGCACGCCGCCACCACCGCCGTCAGCACAGATGCTCCCCTTTCAGGGCTCGACGACAGGCTCTGCCACGGGCTCTGGGCAGAATTGGCCGCAGTACCAAACTTCAATCCCCAAAGGCAAGCGCATGAATCAGGATGCCATGTGGTGCAGCCACAGTGATGGCTCCTCCCTCTCTGAACACACAATGGCCTCCGGTGTTGGCAGCGGCCCCGGTGCAATGCGAAGTCAGCCCTCTAGATCCTCTGGGCAGCCCACGGGGGGCTTCCCCTTCAACGCCTCGAGTGCCAATACGAGTACCTGCATGCAAAGTTACTGTCACGGTGACGGTGAAGCCATACAGGCCACCAACGCGGGCCTTCTGCATTCGGGGAGCCCAGCACGCTTCGAGGACTTTAAGGGGGACCAGACGGCGATGACAATGAGTGCCATGCGAAACGGCAGCATGTCGGCCTTCGAGCGTGGCGGCGTCAGCGCGCACCCAGTGGACATGCGAGGTACCTGTGTGTAGCTTTACTCCTGCTTGTGCTATACTGCCTGCCCTGAATGGACTAACAGCACCGAAAAGTGTAACCGCTTACCCGTCTACTTTTAACCTCAATAAAATCCCTATTGATTTTTATAGGATTTTTCACAGTCGGTGTCCATTCCTGACACGAACTGGGGTCGACCTTTCTGTTGCTTTGAATGGTTGCGAGACTGTAGCTTCATCCGAATAATGTTAGTTTGTCATGACAGTAGGCTTGGTTCTGAAGTTAGGAGAGTAAGTGCAAGATGCAAATGTGGAAAATGGTACCTCGGAAGTGCATGCAGTAAGTGCCAGTCGGACAGCCGCATCGTGCAAGTGGCTTTGCCTTAGGTAATTTTCCGAACATTTCCCGATTCTGTACCCTATTTTCAATGCAAGGGTAATTTATCGGAAGGTTTTTCTGACGAATATGAACTAGCTGAAAAGTATGCACGTGCAGTATCTTTTATAACACAGTTCACTAATCTTAAATCGCCAGCTTCGCCTCCCTTTTAGTAAGCGTGTCTGCCTTCCTCCAAAGTTTCAAGTTATCTTGCTCTCGTCTCTGATCCTCTCCTAGTACATCCGCTGTCACCATTGCCCTTTCCCACACGGCGTCATCAGGGAAGTTTGCAGTCTTAATGCCGGCTTTAAGCGAATCATGCTTTGACTAAAGACGATGTTTCGACTCTTGGCATATGGTAACCGGGGTCTCCATGTGAATTCGGTCTGGCTGGGGACATCGTTCCTTCAGACATTTTGACGTCGTCGTGGTTAGTTCTCTCTTGCTAAACAACGCGGTTGCATTGGACTAGTCTGTGGTGAGTGTGGACAGGCCTTGGCAAAAGGGTGAAAATCGCGTTAAAAGAGCCGCGCGGAGTCCTGCATGACCATTGGCTGGGTCTCTCTCTCTCTCTGTTGCTGTCAAACCTTCCGCATGCACGCGCGGATTCGTCTCTGGGGTCAGCCATCTTAGCTTTGTGCATGCCCTGCCCAGCAGCTATCTACTAACGCCTGTGCATTTATTGCCCTCTTCAAACTCCACAGGTCTCAACGCTGACACCTACGACCAAACTCTCGAGGCCGGCGCGACATTTGCGCATACAAATGAGACCGCAAACATAACACCACCAGCTGCCTTTTTTGATGTCACCGGAGCTAGTCCAGTTCTCCCGGGCACCGTCACCGGCAACAGTAAAAACGGCCGACAAGTCGATGGTACTGACTCCAAAATGAGCCCTCTGGATCAGTCGTGGACATTTGGTGGCGATAATTCTGGAAATCTGCCCAGGAGCACATTTACTTCGTCTTACCAGAACCACCCACTTGGTGGTGTTAAGGTCCTGCCCACTGGTGGTTTTTACGCGGGCAAGCAGATCCCCACCTCGGCGGAATTCAAGCGCCGTGATGGCTATCTTAACGGTAGTCCTATCGAGGAATCCACTGTGAGACGCGCCACGGGCCTTACTTCGCGTCTTCTGACGCATCCCCTGACAGAGGATGTCGAACAGATCTATGGGTATGATAACAGCGGAGGTGCGCCCCTTCATGGGTTTAATGACACTCCTGTGCCCTAGGAAGTCGATGAAACGGAAGTCATAATCGTCTTACCTTCGAAATCCGAATCCTCCAGGCATCTGCTTAGGCATCCAAAGATGTTTGTCTGCGTCCTCTTCCCTTTGACATGGTCAATCAGTGCAGGACGCCCAATTAAATGCCCTTGCCTGCAGGCGCACCCAGCGAAAGCAGGAGAGAAAGCTCGCGATCTCGCCGCGGCCTCCACGCCAGTAACCGCGTACTTCATTTTCCAACTTACTCTCATCCATCTTTCAACCCGATCGTTTGTACCGTGGAGTACTCGGAACAGTCCACTGAGGGTTCCGTCGCCTTGCTTAATTCTCTCGCTCTCTCCTTCCGTTCTTCAGTTTTCGTTCTGCTCGTTTTTCTGTTGCGCTCGCAGACTGGCATTTCCACAACACTTCTCGCGGCCTTGGCTGTGGCGTCATTTTACAATGCCGGAATTTGTATAGATCTAACTCTTTTCTTTCTATTTCTTGTTTCCGCCTTCACCCAAAGGTGTGCGCGCGGCAGCATGTTGTTATCTAAGGAACTTGTTTCCAGCCACTGCACTGCTAGCATCTCACGTATTTTGACATTTTAACTCTCGTGGTTCTCATTAATAGGTCTTTACGACCGCTGTCGTTGCTAATCTCTCTCTCTATCTCTCTGCCGCCCCCTTAAAGTCGAAAGTCCCTGAGGTCTAGAGTTCCTGCAGACCTTATCATGATTCGCAGGCCATCTTTCAGGACTGCCTGGTTCGCCCTGCCGTCCGTTTTAATATGTGCGACTACAAAAATGTAAGTCGTAAAACAAACGTACTGGGACAAATGCAGGCGAAACATAAATAAAACAGGACAAAATTTTATGGAGCATCAGCAATCCCCAGTCCTGGTTTAGCCGAATCTCAAGTCAACAGTACCATGAATCAATGTGGTCCGTTCCTTAAGATCACCATTCTGGCTCTCCACAACAGTTATCCAGCTGACACTCCACCCCAAAGACCATCAGCCTTGCCCTCTCCGGATCCGAGTTAACCATCTCCGTCGACTTTTCAGTTTGGTTGCCACTACCACGGCCACAACAATAACACTGACACGACTTCAGAGGGTAAATGTTGATGGCAAGTTCTCCTTCGGGCCAACGGGGTGCGTGCCAATGGTCACCTTTACTGTATAGACCGCAGTGATGAGTTCTTACAACAGCAAATTTGGTCAGTTCGGCAGTGCATCGAGGCTCAAGTACGCAGTCTTTGATTCCTTACACATCAGTTCCTGTTTTATTCCGAACCACGCGGAGAGCGCGAACACTACAACAGACGGCAGATCATTGGGCGAGAAAGTTGCAGGCTTTTTTGTGTTTGTGAGTGAAATGCCTTCAGTTATTCGAAAGTTTGACGTCGAAGTACTGGAATCGGGGCTTAAGATCTCCTCGACTCAACGGCAATTTTGAAGAGAACTGCTATTGACTATATTTATTAAAGGGCGAGGCGCGTTTTGTGCCTTTCATTGACTGGATGATCACAGCCGCGTAAGCCATGAGGCATAGAGTATTCGACACTGCACGTTCCGTTGTGCCAGGGAGGTAGTTGCCGCCACCCGAAAGGACCTCCATGAAATTATGGACTTTCGTAGACTCAGACGCTCAGAGATGCAGACCCTGTCTTCCAGCTTAACGTTTGTAAGCTGCACGAAGTCTTTTTTGAGGTCAATTAAGCAAACGAAATTTTCCTTTATTTTTAAACCCTTCTCATCTAGAAATCAAGCACCCTTGTTATGCATGCGTAATTTTTGAAAGAAGTGAACAAAGTTTGCGCCAGCCTTTCTAAGGTACTGTATCTGGCAGACGACCAAACCTGATAGTCGCCTGGCATATTTGTTGGATAGTGGCTTTGTTGTCACATGTCTGGGAATGTTAGTTTTCATATTCGGAGCCCAGAGTAGCCTTGACGATTGATTAATTGGTAGCCGGGTCAGGACAATAAAAAGTAGGCCACCGACATCAGACTTTAGTGACAGTGCAAACGATGTTACATTCTTACCAGGTTGTGTTTGTGATTTAGATAGGGAATATTGATAGCGTGTGTCAAGATGGGAACAGAGGTGTGTTCGAGGAGTCCCTCCTTAGATCTGAATGTGCGTTCAAAGTGGAGGTAGGGTGAAAAACGTTTCTACTGAGGTTGCTAAGAGGGGAAGAATCCCTGCTGCTCAATATAATGCCACTGGGCTTAGAGCAGGTGGAGCATCTCCATGAACGGAGTTGCGCGTTGCACTGGTCTACTGCAACCCATCCTTGAAATTGTTCACTAACCCACCTCACTGTCGGCGCAATCCTGATCAAAAACCCGACCTCAACTACAACGGTAAACGTACTCCTAAGTTTGATGCCTACACGTAGCCTCCAATTTAACTCTGGTCGTGTCATTAACCGCATCCTCACCTGTAAAGCTAAGCCAAAACCCGACTGTAACCCTTAACGAAGCCGTGGCTCTAATTCAAACCGCAGCCGATGTAAGCAAGATTTAGACACGTTTCACATGAGTGGGTGATGCTAAGCCAGTCTTACTGAGTAAAGCGGTAAAGCGATGGAAGAACTGGGACCGTGTGCCTAGACTGGAGTTTACAGCTAGCGCATTGAGCCCTTCGTCTATTGTGCCTCAGTTTGGAGCCACGGACTCTGAATGTATGCCCAGTTTTGTGGTTTGAGGGGGCTTAGCTTCTGCAGTTGGGCTGTTTAGAGCAGCTAATGATGGAGGTGCACATCCAAGCTGAGCTAAGCCGGGGGGAACATCCTTACTGCGGGCAAGTGTGGTGAGTTCACTGAACACTTTTCACACTCATCACCGTGGGGTTGACGCTGTTGCTGCTTCAGTGGGTGTGAACATGGCTCTCAGGATCACTGTGGACCCTCAGTGAGCTTCGCCGGTCAGAGCAGGTGGAAGGCGGTTCGGCACCGACAGCGTTCTTCTTCGGCATCCCCGTTTTACGCTGCCTTCTCCGCAACCTCCTGCATTGGCTTGCTTTAGGAGATTACAGCCCTGTTCTTCAAGATTGTTTACCATACCTACAGATTAGCTCAGGACATCCACGCATGCCTTTGATTGATTTTGGGCATTGCTGTTGCAAACGAAACTGGAAGTGAGTACAAAAATAGAGACTAAAGAGTGAACCACCTTTATTGCTGGTGCTAAATTAATAACTTTCTTCCAAGTCCTTAGGCAAGTTCTGACAGGCAAAGCATGACAGCCCTAATATGTCACTAACGACTTAATGTGCATTTTGCCCTACGGGTTTGTTCGGAAATATAATGCTGCAGCCAAACTAATTTATTTTAAAGCCATGTATTCAAGATCAGAGACCTGCGATGTATGATTGAAATCCTAAAGTGAGAGAAATACCAGGTTGTCGAGCAAATTTATGAACTAGAGTGAGGACGTTTTTGACCTTGGAATCAGTCTCTCTTTCGAAAGCCTTCATACTTTTGTAAAAACCTCTACTAACGTGGCGAAAAATGACTCCAATCAGCTGATCGGTTTCTGTAGAAGGCGCCTGGTCGACTCTTTTGTTCTTCGCAAATATTTACCTATGCCCGAGTCCGTTGGCCTTGAAAACGTTGAATTACGTTACGGGGATTTGCGCAGTATTTGCACTGGCTTTTTAGAAAGATAAGGTTATTTGCGAACCACCAAAAGGTTCTTTGAGGGAAGGCTGATTTCGAGTAAAGAATGAATAATATGCGTTATTTGTCAAAATCGCGTCAGAATAATTAGGTTGATTGTGGATACTACTGAGTGCGAGCCGGAGGTTTTAATTAATCGTTAATTTATGAAAACCTTGGAGGCGGAGAAGATTCCATGTTTGTATAAGCTGTGAAAAATTTAACCGAAGCATATGTTGTGGTCGTTTCCATATTGGAAATTTCCCCGTATTATTTTTAAAGAGAGGATTGATCAGACGGTAAGCCATACGAGTTAAGTCTACCTAGCTTTCTGGATGTGAAGACGTAATTTATTTACAGTTTTGTGAAAAGTAACGTTTTGACTTTGCTGTCTAAGCTTCGTCTTCTTTAAGGTAACTTTCATCCAAATCTCCATGGAATTTTGCTGCAACTTGATATACCTGTTGTCGTTTTTAAGGTGTTCTCAATAAATGGCCCTCCGTACGCCTCACAAAACAGTCTGCCATTTGGATGAGTGCCACTTGCATACATGTGTAGCATATGAGATCCACGTTTCCTCTGCGGTAAGAAGATTGTCGCTTTCATCATACAAGGGCAAACTAAGAACTTATATACACTTGCACTGCTTATGGTCGTGGTCATGTCTGGTGCGACGCCTGACGATTAGCGGCAGCAAATCCAGATAGTTTGATCTACTCTTTTATCTAGCCGCGAAGACCAAACACTGTAGACTCAAGAACCGTATCTAGCTTCCAGCGGATTATGTCGAGTGAGCCTTTTAGTAGGCCTCTTCGCTGACTCCAATTAGGGAGTTGCATCGGGTTTTGGACAGCAACACCGAATGGACGGCGAAGAAGTCGCGTCAGCCATCTCAACCGCCTTTCTGAGATGATCTGAGGTAGGATAGCAATGTTATCACAACACGTTTGAACGGTCCCACTGGAGAAGAAGTTGATGGTTCTCGGACAGTAATAGTCGAAAATCTTCTGTTACTGCTCTTTCTTCACACGCAGGAGTCGAGACCTATAATCCCATAGAAATGACTTTTTTGCAAACCGGTTTTGATTGTAGGCGTTGACAGTTGCAGCATTATGCATCGGAGCCCTGTGCTGGCCAGACTGCAGTACGTTTAACTGGCCGCGTCATAGTCATTGAAATAAAGGGCATATGAGTTTTAACAACGATACTAGAACCAAATGTTGGTTATAGGTAGTTGGCTCTGATCAACGAAACTAGGTATAAAATGACGAGGTATTGTTAGAATAGCCAGCTATTGATAGCGAATTGTGAGTTTGGCATGACAAGTGATAAGTGAACCAACTTGCCAAAAAATAGCATCTTTTAACTGATCGC